GGGTGAATTGTAAAATGATAATGATACAATATTTTGCTGTGGAATCAATAAACGTTTAGCAAACTTGTGGAATACTTGGCGGGTAAATTGCCAATCAGGTATGTTAACAAGCAGAGCAAGAAAAGCTGACGATCATCACGATAAAAATGAGTACTTTAAACTTGGTAATCACTTCCTGAAATAACACGATTTACATAAAAATTACAAGTCACGGCTGCGGAAAACAAGCCAAGCAGAGCCCCTACTCATTAACTCGACCTTACTCGAGCAGACCTTAATTAGGCCCTAGCCCAGGACTTTCCGGAGATTAATTTATGAATTTCCAAAAGTTCATAAATCACAGATACCTTCGTTATTGATAGACGGAACTAGTGGCTTGTTTGACGATGGGATTATCTTACCAGGGCAGAGCAAACAAAAATTAAATCTGAATGTAACTTTATCCAGGTTATTACAGGTACAGGTTTTGCGAATCAAAATTGTTGTATATTATAATAATTATTAAATTATTTAATTTGGTAATTGCTTGTCAGAGATTCTGTAGATACTAACAAAAGTAAGCTAGTTAAAATTTTCAATTAGTGCTTTTTAAATAAATATAATTTGAAAACAAAATCTTACAGATCCATTGAAACAAACATTTATAATCTAAAACAATGGGTTATGATGAAGAAGAATAACTAAGAATAATTTAAAGGAGGCTTAATTAAAGAGATTTAAGGGTCATCAGATTGATGTGCTATTTATTTTACAACTGTTTAGATATATAATTGTAACTATTACATAAATATCACAAAAATATGTTCTAGAAGTAAAGTAATATTTTATTTTAGAAATAGGTAATAAAAAAAACCAAAAACTAAACACAAGACTTAATCTAGAAACTTGACGAAAAAAGTCAAGACTCTGGAGGATAAGTATCTACCGATATGCACAACTTGATAATTTGAGACATTTTTTAATTTTATTTCTACACTGCTTGCTGTGAACAATATTTTTCAATTTGTGTACGTACTATTTACCAAAATTATACTTTATTTATGATCTTATACTATTTTTCCAAAAAAAAGACCGTTATTAATATATATATATAATATTTCTCTAATGGATTAAAAATAATGAAAATAGAGAACATTGTTTTGCTCATAATGTCTTATAGCTTCCGTTTTCTTTTCAAATTATAATTCAAATTTCAGAAAAAATTATGAATAGTTTTCATGTAGCACAGTGATGAATAAAGTTTTAGAGATCTGCCAACAAAACATTTTAATTTATCTATTCACTAATTTGCAAAGAATAATGTAGGCTACTTGTAAAAAAGAAACGAAGTTCTACTATGTAAAACATTTGTAATGTTTAATAAAGGCAACAGCTTTTAATATATTCTATGTGGATTTAAAAAATTAGACATGCAAAATTAGATTTTTCAGTAAAAAATATGGACATCTAGTTCTTAAAAACTTTTTTTCTTCCGAGAATAGGAGCTTTCAATAATGTAAAGACAAAGCTCTTAACAAGCTTATATATAAGCGGTTCAGCAAGTTTTTTCAATTTAAAAACTCGTTTTAAACGGCTGTATGAATAAAATCTACTTGTTAAAGTCAAAAGAATTTCTATTCTATTCTCAAATTCTAGTAATTTTTTTGGATTATTGTTTAACTTATTATATATTTAAAATAACAATATTTATTTTCTATTTTATATTTCGTTAAAAATTTCAGTATACTGTCTAAATGAACGAAGACTTTAAGGTAAACAATTATTTAAATTGAGGTTTTTGTTTAAAACTTTTGCGAGGTAATATTAGTAAAATAATGTTTCAAGAGATGAATTTTACACAGTTAATGAATTATAGGTTGATGATTAAGTGAAGAGTTTAAAAAACGATGAAGCTGGAGGTAAATCTGTCCCATAGACAAACAATATTACATTTAATGAATTATAGGTTGATGATTAAGTAAAGAGTGTAATAGAAGATGAAGCTGGAGGTAAATCTGTCCCATAGACAAACAATACTACATTTAATGAATTATTGGTTGATGATTAAGTGAAGAGTTTAATAGAAGCTGGAGATAAATCTTTCCCATAAACAAACAATATTACATTTAAGGAATTATAGGTTGATGATTAAGAAAAGAGTTTGATTGAAGATGGAGGTAAATCTGTCCCATAGACAAATAATTTATTCTTTATTAATTATGAGTCGAAAGAAACTATACTCCGCCAAACAGAAACTATATTACGTATTCCAAGTGGAGAAACCTAACTATCTGACACGAAATATACGTAACGAAAGGATGCGAAAAAAGATAATAATATTTTCTGCCCTTGTAGTAGTTTTTTTTTTAAAAAAAACAGGACAAAAATCGCGGTATTTTTTGGAAAACAGTATAAAAAAGTCGAACGGCAGCGATCATAATACCTTAAAACCAATAAATCGAGAATTTTTATGGTAGTGTTGCATGAAAAATAATCAGTATCAGTCATTATATTTAGTATACCAGTATCAATTATTATATTCCCCTTGGCAGAATCGCAGCGACACGGCGACATTGTCGCAGAACATAACAGAGTTCTTGCATAAAGTTTTCGTTTCTACAGAAATTTACACATAAAATTTGATTCATACATTAAGATAATCAATAACTTTTTGGTGCTCTCTATTTACCCAGATAGTATCGTATGTTTTGATTGTATTTTTGGTAATCATTGATATTGATTTTTACGTGGTTTTTCAATATCCCGATACATTTCAAACAATATGGGAAATTCGAATCGTGCATTTGTGCATTTACTTTTTAAGACCATGATTCTATCGATTTTTTGGCTGTTATTGCTATTGATTTCTCCATAGACATTAAATCCGATTTTTTTTTGTACCATATTATTTATTACAACAACTCAATCTCGAAACGAAACACGCAATTAAGTAATCTCTTTCTGAGGAGTCCGATTCGCGTGATTTCGTCGTCGATCTTTTTATCAGTAATTACTACTACGGATATCATGATTTTTAATTTTTTTTTATTGTGTTGATTATTTACAAAATGCGAAGTAGAAAATAATTAATGAGTTTGTTCCTCCCCCCAAGAAAATACGAGAATATCAGAATAATATTAGAAAAAGAAATTTTTGCATGTTTAATTAAAAAATAATTGTAAATAGTTTTTTTTGTAAACACAGCGCTTTCGTTATCTTGAATTAATAACATACTAGGAGGCTCCGCCCCCTGCTCGCTAGCGCTCACCATCCCCCGAGAATTGCTACGCAATCCTATGTGATTCACGCCGTGAACCATGACCAATGAACACAATGTTCTAGCACAAAGACATAATATATTATCATCAAAGACATNTTAGCGTTTTATATAATATAGATATGCTAGTTATTAATGAAATGTAAATTATATTAATATAATAAATATAAGTAAAATACTAAAATAAAAAATATCTTGCAGAAAGATATTACTGCTAGAGTGTTTTGTCGCAGAGAACTCGAAGAAAAAATTCTGCCACAGGGTATATAATAGTATCCATTATTTAATTAAAAATTTTAATCGAATCCAAAACTTCCTTTTATACATTCTTTTAATTTAGAGTTTCATTTATTGAGAAACGAAACCTCGGTATATATGCCATAATATTTTACGTACAAAAATAGAAAAAATTTACGTACAAAAATAGATAGGTAAATGATCCCTCAGTTCAACATTTAATAATTCGATGATACGATTATTGTATTATTGATTAGAATCGATTTTTTAAAGACCGTATGAGAGAGACGAATCAATAGTTGAGAAACTACGGTAATCCATCCTACAAAATTTATTAATGCATTTTCTGAGAATAATAAATAAGTGTATGACCCCTAAATTCATCACAATATTTCGGTATTATGAAATAGTAAATTTAGTTTATTTTTCCTAAAATGAATGAATTTCCAAAAAACGAATTCTGCGGCATGAATTCTGCGAATCTGAACGTTATATATAATTATTGGACGATCCTGAAATTTGAACTATAAAATTAGGAAATTTTTACAAAATTAGGTATTGAATCTACGTTGCACTAGAGCTGCACAATGGGCTATTGGTGACTGTTTGGGAAACATCCCCGAGGATGATTCGTAGACATGCCATCACAATTTTGATCCTATGTAGAGGGGATGGCTCCTTCGCTTTGGTAGCCCGACAACATGCGCATGAAGTCGAGCACTTTTCAGTCCTCGCGCACGTTCAATCGCAGATTGATCAAAGTGGTCATCCACCCGCTTACAGACCACATCCAGTGATGCTTAACTTTGGTATTCGGGAACTGTGTCTTTCCCATCAGTCCACTGCGGGACGAAATTTTTACAAAATGCATCTAAATAAATATTTATCATATTAACTATTCGACGCTACTTAAACTATTACTTAAGACTATCTTATAAAAATGTATAATAGCTTAAGTGCTGCCAATAGATAAATAAATACCCGAGTGTATGATACCGCATAAGAAAAATATATAAACATATAATTTTGTACTCTCTTTCACTTACCTTGGTTCTGAAATCAACTCCGAAAACTCAATTTCCACAGAAGTAAGGAAGAGAGTAACTGCAGCCAACAAATGCTTTTATGGCATAAGAAAATTCCTTAAATCTGACAACATTAAAAGAGACACCAAGTTGCTAATATATAAAAGCCTAATAAGATCAGTTCTCACTTACACATCTGAAACCTGGACCTTGCCCCAAGCTGATGAGAGGACCATCGCTGCTTTCGAGAGGAAGATACTCCGGTCCATTTTTGGTGGTGTGTGTGACAAGGGAGTGTGGAGAAGGAGAACTAACTCTGAACTCTACAGGATATTCAGAGTACCGGACATTCTGAAGTACCATAAGATCCAGCGCATGAAATGGGCCGGACACATTGTAAGAATGAATGATGACAGAAGAACTAAAAGAATCTTTTTGGCAAGGCCAACTGGAGCTAGAAAGAGAGGCAGACCCCGACTGAGATGAGCGGATTGCCTCCAAAGGGTTTTTACGCAGAAGAAAGGACTGGTGCAGTCTTCTTGAGAAAGCCAGGGTCCACAGAGGACTGTCGAGCTACTGATGATGATGATGATAATTTTGTACTTCTTTAGAAAAAAACTTAATTGCGAAGTAATTAATTATATTATTTGTGATCCTCTCTAAAATGGCTGGAGAAATTTTAAGCATAAACGGTACTATAGTTTCTCATACTGTCATACTAATCATTGATGCCACCATAAGTATGATTCCCGAATTCATACTTATTGTTTGTGTGATTTAACTTTCTGTCAGCCTTTCCTTGCTGGTCAGCGCTGTCATTGCACTTCTTCTGGGAAGAGATAAGACTCTATACCGGCATTTCTTTTTTCTTCATTTATTTTTTTAAGGCGGAGCTTACTTAACTTACTTCTCTTTCATTTGTTTTTAAAAATCTCTGCTCTTTGAAATTTAATTGGCTATCACTTTCCTGGGTCAACACCAGTTAAAGAATTTTTTTAAAAGGTTTTAAAATTTTTCTGTCTGATCTTCGTGCTGGTCACACCAAGCTGTGCGTCCATCATCATCATCATAGTTGGCCAGACAGCCCAATGTGGGCCCTTCCTCTGAAGATTTCTCCATTACAACTTCCGATTTATCTTTGATCTCCAATTCTTTTCACAGACTCCACCCAGTCAGCCCATCTCAACCGCGGCCCTCCCCACTTTCTTGTTCCAGTGGGTCAAAAAAGCAGTAAGCCGTGTGTCCTCTCTTTTTTTCTTCCCCGAGATGCGAGTCCGTATCGAAAGAATTTTTATTCTTTTTTATCCTCTTTCTTCACCTTTAATTTTATTGACTTCTTACAACCGTAATTAATTTCTGTAAAATTGAATTTTCTACTTCCTTTAATTTTCTTTAACATTAAATACCAAATTTAAGCGCTCCTTCAGTATTTACCTTATTATCGCCATTTAAATTTGTTTTTCTCCTGAATCTAAATTTTATGCATTAAGCTTTTCTTGAAAATTTCTTACTCTTTTTCTTGATGCATTTCAGGGTTTTTTGTAAAACTGCTTCTTAATTTCTTGTTCGATTCTTTGTTTCAGTATTTTAATCTATTCTAATCATAATGGAAATATCTTTTGTAAAGTTAACATAATTTTATTCAAGAATATAAAAAATATAGTGCGTGGAGTCCCTCCGCGCGAAAGAAGTGAAACTTCGTAATGTGGAAATGAAAATAGGAAGGGGTAGAAATTGATTTTTAGTGAAATCATATTGTTTCTTTAAGACAAACTTTATTAACAATGCTTACAATTCACAATTGATCGCATCTTTTAATTATCATTTTCGAGTGGAGAAATATCTATAACATTTACAATGGGATTATGATAACTAAAGTAAGATACGAAATGTTTGAGTTCTATTTTTTCAATATTTCTTTCGAAAACTGCATCAATGGAAGTTACCCCTTAGGTTGTTGGATCATTCCTACCATTTATCATATCCAATCCAATTTGTCTTTAACCCCTTGGAGACGGGTGATTCATAAAAGCATTCGTACAAAATTAAACTCAGGATGTAAATAAATAAAGACAGACTTACTTTGCTTTTAATTACTGTTAGTTTATTCATATATATAATCAATGTTAGTTCTAAGTAGAACTAAATAATTTTATTTTGAACTAAAGTAATGGTAATTAAATAAAACAAATGATTATAACCCCGTCCACAAATAAACTAATAAAGAACTACTTTGGTTACCATTTTTATATTTTTACCCTGATTGATACCGTTTTATGCTGGCACGTATTTGTGACAGTCGGCCCGAAAGGGTTAAGGAAGGTTAATAACGTTTCTGCTTCAGGTAACGAGAAATTCACATTAAAATCTCCTGCAAGGATCACAGGCCGCTCACAATAATCAATTTCTTCACCAATAACGTCTGCCAGAGCTTGTGAACCTGCAGTGGATAGTGGCAATAAAGATTTTACAATAAATAATTCAATATCCATCATGGCTGCATTTGGTGAAATATAAATGGCAATTAGAAAAGAGAAAACCTAACAATCAATTGATATTCACAAGAGACGTACCTTGACATAACCTTAAATCCCTCGCATTGTCCGTGGGATTGTTTTCACTCATTTTTTACAATTGTTATCCACTAAGTTTGAAAATAAAAAATACTACCCTTTTAAATTATATGTGTATCTAATCAAACGAAAATATTTATAGAAAAACAATACTTTTATGACTTTTATTATTTTTATGCTAGTGAGAACCAAAATAATATGGAAATGAATGAGGGAAAACTGGATCCTACCACGTGATAAAAATGTAGCGTTAAACGTTTAACGTAACCTTGTTGGAAGTCGCATAAGAACTATCACTTCTAAAAAATGTGCTGAATCAAACGTTTCTTTTATTTGTGTTTGTGTATTGTCTTTTAGTCAGTGTCTCGTACATGAGATGAGTACTTATGTTATTGTTTTACTTCTCTTTGGGTCCCGCAGTGGACTGATCGTCAAGACACGGTTCTCATCAGATCACCGAAGTCAAGCATCACTGGCTGCGGTCAGTGTGCGGGTGGGTGACCCACTTGGATCAGTCTGCGTAGGGACCGAGGTTGTGCGGTATTGGTCCTCGTTAAACTGTGCTACCGTAAAGTGCTCGACTTCGCGCGCAGGTCGTCGGGCTACCGAAGCGGGGGTGCCATCCCTTCCGCAGAGGATCAAAATTGTGATGGCATGTCTTCGGATCATCCTCCGGGATGTTTCCCAGACCGTCGCCAATAGCCCATTGTGCAGCTCTAGTGCGACGTAAATTAACAACAACAACAACTACTTCTCTTTGGAACCAGCTCTAAATTGCATGCCATAGTTTTATTTTTATTTTATTGATGATTTTGATTAAATTTAGTTTTCACCATTATTCCAAATTTGATGATACCAATTTATCCAATTTGTTTAAACCTCACACTTTGTGACCTATTGGGTTATTGTTATCCTGTGATAACATTTTACTACAACATTTCCTTCATGATTACGTTCCCCTTCATTTAAATACTCACGATCCTATTTCCAGCCTCAATTTGTTTGCTTTAAAAACCTTAATCGCCTGTTTTTTCCCTGAATAATTTTATCCAAATACAAGTACAAATACTGACTGGACAAATACTGATAGCCTGGTTGGTAGGGCACTGGGTCCATGTTCAAAAGGTCGTGGGTTCGATCCCCGCCAGCCGAAGACTCCCCGTTTAGTAAATGGTGACTGATGCAAGTTAAATTTGCTGAGTCACAAAGTCCTTCATGTTTCCAAAAGAAATCATACCTATGGAGGTACTGATCCAGGAGTTTCCTTGTCTTCTGGATTGGTTAAAATATTACAAGACTACGGAGTAGGACTGGGCTATAAATCGATATATCGCGACATATCGATTTAACGCCTATATCGGCAAACCGATACNACGGAGTGGAACATCGGTAGTCGTAAACCCAAAACTGGGTCGGCTTTTCAATGACAAATTATGACGGCTTAATTCGCGCCATTGTTAAATTAATTTTTTTAAATGCACCATATATATTATTATTATTTTTTAAATGTAACAGTTTTTAAATTTATCCGGCATTCAACTGCTTGAATAAGTACAATTAAGTTTTGTTTTTATCAAAATCAAATCATATAAATTAAATATAAAAAATAATGATTATTATGTTAAATAAGTCATGAAATAGTATTTTATTTATACAGTTTATTTAAGAGTCCTTATTTATTTAAGAGTTTATTAAGACTGTGTGATATGTTGTGAGAAATTCCGGATCAAATTATGGTATAAAATATTGGCACTTTGGGTGCATGATCATAAAATTCTAATTTTACAGCAAAATCTATTTTTATTGTAAAATATTATTCATAATTTTAACATTAATATTTATTTAATTAGAGTGATTTAGTTATCTCACAGTAATTATTACTTTAATAATTACGTTATGTCAAATTTTTTGTTCAGCAACATGTTCCTGAAAAAAATTGATTTTGCGGTAAAAAGTACCGTCAGCCTGAGTGCCGATTCTTTCTACCGCAATTTCATCCGAAACTTTTTGTAGAATAGTAAAGTGGCAGAAAATTAAATTTGTTGAATATATTTTTAAATAATAATATATGTTTTATTAAATATATTTTTATGGATTGACAAATGAGTACCAAGCATGCTTGGGAACTAAACACTAAGGGGAAACCCCCAGTGTTTAGTTCCCAAGCATGCTTCGGCTGACCACCTAACCGGAACATCTGCTTCTGCACCCCAGAGCCCAAGGTCAAGAAAACTGAGATGGGCACAGTAGGCCTTGGGTCTCTATAGGCTGTCGCGCCACTGAGTTTAGTATATTTTAATAAATATTGTTTTGTATATTTCAATAAATATATTTTTATATATTTTATAAATATATTTTTGTATAGTTCAATAAATATATTTTTATATATTTTATAAATATATTTCTTAATATTTTTTTTAAATTAATAAGTGCACTGCCAAATTGTATTTTGTTTATACAATGTTTAAGACTTTATTGTGAAACATTGATAAGCTGCGAAGAAGAAGAAATGTGTTGCTATCAAATTGCATTCTACTCACACAATTTATTTGAAAAACTTAAAGAAAACCATGAAATATAATACAAAACCGTGATAAACCACGAAATATAATGAAATGATATTGGGATAGCCTGGTTGATAGGGCACTGGGCCCGAGTCCAACAGTTCGTGGGTTCGATCCTCGTAGGCCGAAGATTTCTCGTGTTGTAAATGGTGACTGATGCACTTTAAATCTGTCGAGTTGCAAAAGTTCTCCCTGTTCTCATAACAAATCAGTACCTCTGGGGGTACTGATCCAGGAGTTTCCTTGTCTTCTGGATTGGTTCATAATTACAAGGCTACGGAGTTGAACATCGGTAGTCGTAAACCCATGAAATTGGGTCGGNGGTTACAAAGAAATTAAACCGCTTGTCGTTATTTTTTGTTATATATATATATATACTATGTTAAAATATTTTTAATAAATCAATAAATTTACTATCAAATTGTTTTTGTTTGGACAATTTTTAGAAGGGTTCAATGTGTT